GACCTGACCTTTCTAACTTACAACTAACACAATCATGAAGTATTTGTCGTAACAGATGAAAAAGTTCACTATTTTTAACATATATCACAATAATTATTGGCTCTATAACTGTAGAAATTTTAGAAAACAATTGTCCGCTCAACTATTCCCTGTTTTTGAAATAATTTCTTGTTTGACAGTTTTTTTAATAGATATTTTCAATTTTCATTGATGATGTTTTGAAATGTAGCATAAATATGGTGTACTCAGAGATATTCTTCTGTCATAACAAACTGACATCAATTTTAGTGATTGAATGTTCAGAGTTGTTAAGTTTTCAATTAGTTAGTCTCGGGTTCTAACCTCTCAATTTGTCTGTCACCTACTTCGACTTACGCAACTGAGTGTTGTCACTTTTCCTCACATTTACAAAATGTGACTCAAAGCTAGGTATATAAACCTGTACTTGATAAGTGAAGTACGAAACATTTTAATTACGTTATCGGTTCTTCAGTTGAATTTTTAGTTTCATCCTCTACCTTCAATGTATAGTTACAGTTTTTTTCTTTATTCAAACGACTTTATCAAAAAGTACATGTGAAGACCCCATTGTAGATAGTTGAGGTTCACATAGTTATTGTAACGAATGAATCGATCTTGAGTTCTGAAATTATTTGATATTTTTATTCCATTGAGTCATCCTTTCATCTCGATTCATTTTGTCTACACCTATTCTTTTCTACTAATATCATTGATACATTTACTCTTTCATCAACTCTTGTGTCACAACATGAAAATCAAACTAATTTCTTATGTATAACTAATAATTTACTCTATATTTATACTAAGTAAATATTTTTTTGTCACTTTAGAGTTATGAATATTTTTAAATCTCATTGGAATCACTTAATTGATCTAAGTTAAATAACCATCGAAAACCTGAAAACACTAGACAGTCATTTCATTCTAATATGAGACTCCTTAGTAATACTTTATATTTGCTTTACACTAAAATAATGAATAAACCGTTTAATTTCTTTCTTCCTTTTACACCTCTTTTTTTATGAATAGGCTGATGAATTATTGGACCATGTAATATTGGATGCTTTTCATTATTATCATGGTTTAGTTATTGATGGACATCGACATGCATGGGATCCTTGTTTAGTATTAATTATTACACAATTAATTCAGTTATCACCTTCATCAAGATTTCATAAACATGCTACTTGTCTATATCCTGGTCTGTGTGATTTAGTTGCAATGGCTGGTGGTATTTCACCCCAAGTTGCTGCTTTAATGCGTGTTTTTCTGTTACGTTGTGGAACCTTCTTCATACCTATGACCAGTGGTGGTGGTGGTAGTAGTAGCAATAGTTCTACGAAAACGGAAAATTCTTCATAAACAGTATAAATTTACATATGTATCTTTACGTTTTGATTGATTACCAGATAATTCATTTGAAGTATACTGGAGTGCCAAAGAAAGAAATATCTATATGGGTAGTGGGATATATATATATATATGTCGGATTCAATAATTTTATTTATTCTATCCATTTCTCTCATATACTTATCTTTCACAATTTTCCTATTATTTTTCATTGTTTTCCACTATTAAAATCTTATTATAGAAAAGCTTAAGAATGTATCATCATAATCATTATTTTCTTTACTTGTTTGTGCGCGTATATGTGTTATTCTTTCTTCTTCTTTTTCAAATGAAGTTCTCTTTAGATTTACATTCCATAAAATTTGTGATAAACGTCGATTAGTATTCCTTGTCTTCGTCTTCTCCTTTTTTTTTAAAAAAAAAAGACAACTAATTATTTTATTTATTCGAAATTATCCATGAATTCCACTACCCTTAACACGTATCATTAATTCTATTTTATTTGTCATTGTTGTCGGAAAAAGAAAATAAGGAGAAACACAATTATTATGGTCTACATTAATATGAATTTATTCAATAATCCAGTGCCTTTTGATAAAATTAAAGTTTTGTAACTGAACGATTGACTTTGATGATGATTTGGTGCTATTGTTTTGTGATGCTTATCGTTCAAATTAAAACAAATCACTTATTATGTTGTGTTTTATTTTTTGTTTGTTTGTTTATTTATTAAGAAAAAACAAAAGATAAACAATTAGTGAATAATTGTTTCACTGTTTTGTTGATATTTAATGGCATAACATTGTCTAAATAAACAAATGAAAATACTTTACCCTATTATTATACATCTTTTATTCTTTTCATTGCATATCATTATGTGTTGTTCATTGTTATTTTCTCCATTATGATCATAATTATCATCACTGTATGTAAGTAAATGAAGAACAATGATAAATATTCTATTACATAACTACTGTAGTTGTTCACGTGTTAAAGTTTCTCTTGTAATTTAATTAATTTGTTTCCCTTGTCAATGGCTGTGCGATTTCACTAAGAACTATTCATCTTTACACTGATTTTTGTCTTTTTTTTGCGTGCATTCCCCTCATTTATTCACTAACTGGGTTTTGTCTCTCTTATCATGTTGTGTTTTCTTTTCTATTATGTGAATATTGTATTATATTCTTTTCGGATAACAATTTCTAATCTAGATTTAGACAACGTAGAGCATTCTTTTCTGGTTCCCTATCCATCACTAGTACAATTATATAATTGTCATCAGTTCCTTGTATTCATGACAGTGATTGGTGGTTAGCTGATTACTTAACTATTGTTATTGTTATCGTTTGTATTGTCACCAATTTTCTCGTATTATTTTCAAATTTACTGAAACATATAACCCTCTTTATTTGTTTATTTATTTTCTTTCAAATGTTTCTTTGTTTATTCTCCGGAGATTTGCTGTGTGAATAATTTTGTTCTGTTTGTTTGTTCATTGTAGGCTATTCATTATTTTATCGTTTTAGAGCAATAAAAAGTTACCTATTATTATTGTTATCATGATTATTACTATTGTTCTTACCATAGTGATGACTGTTCTTTTGAATATTATCTTTTTAAAATAATAACAATAATCGTCCAGTGTAAACAAAAAGGTCATTTATAAAATTAAATAATTTTTCTTATTATTATTTGTTATTTTTGTACTGTGTAGGTAACATATAACTCATATCTCCTAAAAGATAACATCTAGTTTGAATTGCATATTTATCAATAGACAATATGACTGATCTAAGAACTTTTGCAAAAGTAGTATGTGATCGATACTTAACCCGTAGTTATCATTAATACCGTTTTCTCAGCTGAACAGTTCAATTAGAGCATTGATGAGAATTGATCTTAACTACTGTAGGACATAATACGGTCAGCCAGTTATTGCCAAAAAGACAATCGAAAGGTATATATGGAGAAGTGCTGGAATTCAAGATTGAGGGTAAGATGAGCGGTGGATACATCTGCACCATTGTGAGAGATTCTGAGCAATTTTGTACAATCTCTAACCATTGATCACGTTTCTTGCGTGAAACCGAACCACGTAGTCTGGATCTACCAGATGGACAATCAATGACCTCATGGAATGATGTTCTAACGTGGGCGCCTGCAGCTTTCTTTCGGCCCGTCAAGGTATGTAGTGGTTAGGGATATCTAACATCTTCCAGACGCTCCAGTCGACAAAGATTCATTACCTCATTTACCGGTTTCCAATCTTTGCTTGGCACTTTATAATTTAACCTGAACAATGTTAACTCGGTTGTTCCACAAGATGTAAGCATTGATTGCAGCCATAAAATAATACATAATGGACTGCTGTACAATATACATGCTTTTGATTGACAAAGACACCTCATTTACGCCACAATTGACATCAGTTTTCTAAACCCTACCAAGCACTCAGAATCCTTGGCAAAATTTCGTCAGACACCAAGCCTTCAGGGTTGGTAATACTCCTAAAGTAAATGAAGCTTTCAATAGCTTCAAGTACCTCACTGCCTTGAAGCAAATTATCCAAGTATGGAAGATTAGAAACAGAGACGATAGTTGTAAAAGCATAAAAGCATGAGAAATATTGAAACCCGTAATCTAGAGGGAAATGTTTATGTTCTAACATGACCGATTTTGAGTCGTGTCTCGTAAGATCTGTTCAATTTATTATCGCGATTGTCACTCGGATCCCAACCAATTAGTCTAAACTCACCTAGGCAGCTCAGACGGATAATGGACGAGTTCTTAGATGGATTTTACTTGGTGTAAGGTGGTTTGAAGTGATCATTATGGAATCCTGAACTTATGTTTCGTGCCAGTCGACTCGCATCAGCAAGACGTAACTTCAGTCTTTAAGAAAATTGTGCTTTTTATGAGGTTCAAACCTGTATACCTCACCTCTACACTCTAAGAAAGTGCCAGCGACGTATTCGAGACGACCAATTTGCTTCGAAACGTATTGTTTACAATACTCAGCCCCTTAGTCTGGTGCGCACATCATAATTCGATTGATAGAATACAATCAGCGCTAGTTACAAGACGAATATGAAATTAGTCACTATTTAGTAATCAGTCAAGTTTCCACACTACCGAGAATTTCATTTTGTAACATTGAATCTCAAACAGGAAATTTTATTAGATTGTATTATCCTTTATTTTGTTGGCCAATTTCAGGATTTCTCGACCTAATCCCCGACTAACATAGTATATCGGTTTGTTCATGATTAAACGTTTTACTCATAAGACATTCATACACTAAACAGTTTACTTGGACTAAATTTTGTATTTAACTTTAACAGTATTCACAATATTTCCACTGCAAGGTTTTGGTACTTAAAAAATACCAACTACACGAACAATATATAAATATTTTCCGCTTGTCATGATCACTTTACGGTTTAATAGCAAAATATAATGAACTCCCAAGGCGAATAATGTCAATTTTGACAGCCACTTGGATATCTCTTCTGTCATGTGGATTGGTGAGCTCGAAAAAAATCTATCAAATCCTCTTGAAATATCAACTATAATGAAACAGTTTACTCCTTATTTCGTCAAGAGTTTAACCATAGCATTTTCGAACAAGAATTTTATTTAATAAAGTTACATAAATCCAAATATATCTGTATTATAAATGAATTAACGAATTCAAAGATAAATTAATAGAATAACTCAACTGACTACAAATAAAGAATGTTGTATAAAATGTCATGTTGAACTTTTAATGCTTATCGGTGGTTAATTTTAAGCAATCTACATTCACATACAGATGTTATGTTTACAGTTCAATGTGTAAATTGATGTTTAATTACGACGTTGTGATGTAAATCTACTTTGTTGACGTATATGATAGAATATAAGGATAGATATGATTATAATTAAAACAATGATAATTGGTAATAATGTACTAAGTGTTGCAATGAATGCATATTGAATATTTTGTGATTTCTGATTATTATGAATAATATTATTATTATCAATATTAAATTCATTAGGCTCCTCCCAACGACCATTAATTTTTCTAATTATATTACCATTTTTATCATGTATTTCATTTGAACTTGATTCAATGAAATTGTTTGAATCCTTTAGTTTAAATAAATGTGAATCAAATGAAAGCTATTTTCAAAATAAAGAAATAAAGAATAGTTGTATGGTAAATATATGTCTATAGAAGGATAGGAAAAGAGTGCATCATAAAGTGATTTGAGACTTCAATTATCAAGTGAGTTTACGTAATAATCAGTGGGTTAGGGAAGGATCGAAGGATGAAAATAAATTACGGATCATATCTGTTAAGCGGACAATTATCTTTCATAATTCTGACCTGTAAATTTTTAGAAAGAAAACATTTATCAAATTCTGAAGTAGATACCTGTCTCTACCCGACATGGATTGAGCTCCACTGGTCACAGTTTTTCACAAGAACTCCAGGAATTCATCTTGAAGCCAGTCATTAATGAGTACATAATGATTATGATCAGAATGGGGATCTGTGGAGACTGTAATAATTTTAATAGCTGAATTATTGAGTCGATGTAAGCTAGACCACCACTGAAAATCTGGAAGAGCTGGACAGCATTTTCGTCCTAGTATGAGACTCCTCAGTAGTGCACATCCACGATCCCACATGCGGGACTCAAATCCAGGAACTTTGGTCTCGCGCGCGAATGTTTAACCTCTAGACCGCTATTAAAGTGACTACATACATCCAACTAAATCGTACCATGAAAATAACTATTTTAAATGATACTTCCAGATTACTGGAGAATAAAAAGTTGAATAAAAAAGAAGTAAATAGTTTAAAAATTAATCTTATTAAATTGTAATGAGAGCAGAGTAAATTTTAATAGAGTGATACACATTGTTTATTTACGTTACCAAGATAGTTGAGTATTAATCATCCACATTTCCCAAATACAAAATTTAAATTAATCCACCTAGTTACTGTTGTTTTCAACCAATCTAAATAGGATGAGATTATTCTGTTTATGGATTATTTCAACTAATATTTTAAAAGATTATGCAGTAATGATAATTCGATTGTACACAATTTAGTTAGTTTGAAGTAAATGTATTCTATAAAATTTGTAGATAATTACCAAAATATCTCTGTGAGATGTACTTGAAAATTATAAATGAGTGGTTTACTTTGGTTGGTTGAACAATATTTTGTTATGTATTTAACTTACAGCATTCACTTCATATTAATTATATATTGTAGTGTCAGTTACTATGTTAAGTTCATATACCTTATTCTAGCTTTCTAACAGGCCGATCTATTCGTTCTTCTTGATTCACATTTTGACCTTGTAACTTATTCGCTTGTCAACCTTGACTACTTTTATGTAAGCGTATGTTTCGATAATGTAATAAGAAGACGAAGATTATCAGAATTATGTGATATATTAGTGCAATACATTTCGAACAATCTGATCACAAATATACTTGTTAAGAGCATTTACTTATATATACATCACCTTACCATTCAGAGGTGATTCAAATAGCCTTTTATTGAAACAAAGACTTAAATCAGTTATCAACAAAACGTATTGCGCAGCAAAGGTCATTATCAAAGAAAGAACAAGGTGCATGCTTCATCCCAAACCTAAAAGACATGAAAACGATTGTGTCACATCCCAGTGTGTTTACCAATTTAAATGTGTGTGTGTGTGGTCACACATACATAGGGAGGAGCAATCGTGATCTAAAAATTAGGGTGTGTGAACATGTACCAAAATGGTTGTAGAAACAAATACAATCAAGTGACCCAATAAGAGTAGAGGATAAACATCCATCATCCTCTGTTGCTAAACGTATAAGTGAAAAGGGCCATAAGATTGATCTAAACTCGGCTTTTTTGGTTTTGTATAAATGTGTAAAAGGGCGTATACGAAAATTCAAACCCCCTCTGTGTTCAAAAGCAGTTTGTTCTTACCTTAAACCTACTCTGGTGATTAGGTTTCGAATTGTGTTCACATTATTATTACTCTTATTATTATACTTATCTCCTCTTACCCCATTTCCAGTCTAGTTGACCTTTAATTTTTATATATAAATGCTCTTAACAAGTATATGTGTGATCAGATTGCCCGAAATGTATTGCGCTAATATATCACATAATTCTGATAATCTTCGTCTTTTTATTACATTATCGTATGTGTTTACACTTCTTATCCTATTCATCACATGTCTGTAACTTATTTTTGTGTGACTATAAATATCAATTAACGCTTGACTAAATGGGGTTGGCTTACACGCCTCCTCCACTGCGAGTCACTTCGTATCGCTCTCTTCTCTCCACTTCTCCGATCTTTTGTCTGGAGCAACGATTGTATGGAGTATACGTATTCGGAATTTATTTCCGTATTCGATTTATTTAATTCCGTTATTCACTAATAAGATTTAAGTCAATGAAATATACGAGGACAGCCGACATGTGTATTTCGACAACAATCAATCATATGATTCAGTTGGAGTCAGATATGGGGCCATTAAAATATTTCATTGTATTTACTAAAAAAATGCATATTATCTGCAATTCAAGCTACAAGAATACATTGGAATTCAGTGGATTTATTACTTTTTTTGTAATATGCTTCAGTTTTAACAGTGATAATGAATGTATGATTTGAGTCAGTGCCCAATCTGTTTTAACAAAACAAGGTCAATGGTGGAATATTAACCATCCAAGTTATCATCGAAGTGTGATCAATTCTAGTTGGTCTGTGTTTAATGAGAATTCTGTATGAATACTATATGCTCACTTAGCTTTGTTTAATTTTCATTCATTTTATGAAAGGTGAAACGTCTATTTGATTATCAGATTATTGTATTGTGAAAAAAATTATCTCCATATTACTTCACCGGTGTGATAAGTGGCATTTGAGGTTAGAAAATTTGGGTAGATTGTAGTTATTTGAGCATTTCACTATAAAACAATGATCGCCTGTAGTGGAAACACTATATAGTTACAGATTGAACTCATGAGTCAGTTGAAGCTAGACCACCATTGGAAACCTGGAAGCACTGGACGGCCGTTTCGTCCTAGTATGGGACTCCTCAGCAGTGCGCATCCACGACCCCGCACCACCCGGGGCTCGAACCCAGGACCTACTGGCTTCGCGCGCGAGCACTTAACCATTAGACCACTGAGCCGGCATCCAACGGTGTTAATGTCTAACTTCAACCAATCCACGAAGTTGCGCTACCGTACACCATTGTCTTCAGTGAGTTCCTATCTCACAACAGATCTGGTTGAACTCCACTAGTAACGACTTCTCACTAGAACTCCAGAAGTGTCTCCTGAGTTCTAGTGAGAAGTCGTTACCAGTGGAGTTCAACCAGGTCTGTTGTGAGATATCAACTCACTGATGACAATAGTGTACGGTGGAACAACTTCGTGCACTGGTCGAAGTTAGACATTAACACCGTTGGATGCCGGCTCAGTGGTCTAATGGTTAAGTGCTCGCGCGCGAAGCCAGTAGGTCCTGGGTTCGAGCCCCGGGTGGTGCGGGGTCGTGGATGCGCACTGCTGAGGAGTCCCATACTAGGACGAAACGGCCGTCCAGTGCTTCCAGGTTCCCAATGGTGGTCTAGCTTCAACTGACTCATGAGTTCAATCTGTGAAAATTTCTAAAAATCTCCACAAAACACATTCTGATACTATATAGTTAGTTTTAAAGTACTATGTAGAGATGATAAATTTACCAATCAGACTTTGAACTTTTATTGATATATGGATTATCCACATCGAACCCCTACATTTATTGATACATTATCCTTGATAACATAGTAAACTGGAAGAAAAGATAAAGACACAGGGAAAGACATCGTTTTAAACCATTCAGTCAGTGACTTTTAAGCAGGAGTTTCACACTTCCTACTTGATTTCCGTAAAATAATCATAATCTATGGTTTGAAATGACTAGAAATCAATCACAATTCTATCAATTCACATCATTTTTGTCTTTTTTTCCAAATCTTGATTATTAACATTATCTTATACTTTTTATTATAGATCGCCTTTATTTCTTCGAAAAATATTTAGTGCGTTATTCAGTATTTCCTTTACCGGGAAAAAAAACTCGTAAATCTACAGCTTCCTGTTTATATAGCAGTATGAACTTATAAAGTGATGATCCAAATCTTTGACAACTCAGTTACCAAGTTGTCTTTTACTTATGCTTTGAACTATGCTTTTTATGTATAACCAAGTTATATTACTCTATTCTTAAAATCAAATTTAGTAAAGAGGTATGTAAACATACATTTCAGTGGTTAAAAATCAAGTCATTCATAATTTTAAAGTGCATTTCTACCGTGTAATACACTGACTAATCACGTTGTTTTTCTTGTTTTACAACAACTTAGTACATATCCTGGTTTAATGGAATTTAATGGATGTAATTAATAAACAAGGTGTTTAAAATACACTAAAATAGTGTTCATATGATTATGATCTAAATACACCTGATACATAATCTAGTGTCGTTTACTCTGTTAAGCCTATACACCTTGTTCTAGCTTCCGGACAGGCCAATCTATTCATTCGTCTTGAGTTATATTTTGATCTTGTTAATTATTCGCTTGTCAACCTTGACTACTTTTATGTAAGCGTATGTGCGTGAATTTCTTATCTTAATCATCACATGTCTGTTAATTATTTTGTGTGAATATAATTATCGATTAACGATTGATGAAATCGAGTTGGCTTACACGCCTTCTCTTTGCTCGTTTGTCTGGATTAACGATTGTACAAAGTACACTTCTTCGAAATTCGTTCTCGTATTATTTAATTCCGTTATTCACTAACGCGATTTAAGTCGACAATAATATACGAGAATAGTCAGGATGTATATTTCGATAGCAGTCATTCAATAACAATCATTCATACGATCGACCTGAAGTCAGATCTCGGGCCACTAAAGTAGTGGGCCCGACGTGATGAGTAGGATAAGACGTACATACACATACGCTGATATAAAAACATTCCGAGTTGATAAGTAAATAATTGACAAGGTCAAAACGTGACTCAAGAATAATGAATAAATTGGCTTGTCCAGAAGCTAGAATAAAGTATATGGGCTTAACAAATTACCGACACTACGAAACACTAAACTTAAAAAAGTATGCTCACACCCACTCCTGTGCAATTACAAAATGGAATCAACCTTTAAATCTGTGGTTGTGCTTATTTTGTCATTTTTTTCTGTGCATAATCGACAATTACTTACTTCAGTCAAAATAGATCTACCATATGGATCATTTGAAAATGATGGTAATTTCTCTTCTTTTGTATAAATCTGTAAGAATTTGTTAAACATGTATGCATATTTATGTTGTTGTGTTTACAGTGTTTTTGTATACATGAATATCACCTTTCATAATAAAGCCACAGTTTTATTTTAAATTGAAACAAATAAGTACACTGAAAATTGAAACATTGATTAAATTCATTGGCGTTACAATTTGATATTTATGGTTTTTCTATAGATAATGACCATCTTAAATAAAGGAAACATACAAAACAGATCAAATCACATACTGGGATCATCTACAATAACTATCCGTTTTGTACTTTAGCATATACAACCTTCTTGGTATTGTTGTGAAGCTGAATGAATAAGTACGAAATGATATATGAATAATATATACCTATCTACTACTTATTTTGGTGTGGCTTATTGACTATGTTCAGGTGAAAAGACTAAATCATGGTTTCATTTCATGAATTGACTAAGAGATGAAATGATACATGTAGGATGATGCAGATTTTCTTATCTGTATGCAACAAATCAACTAAATGGATACATACAATACAGATTATTGGCCTCAGAAAGTTTATCTAGTTTGCTAGGCATGTACATATACATATATGTATTTAGGGTATGAGAGGGAGATTTAATTCAACAGTATTCGTCCTTACTTTAGAGTAGAACAACAAATTATTATCTTCCATCAGTGTAAATGTACTTTTATGTAAATCCATACCTTCGTTTTCATTTGTTTTACAGTTTCGAAATTTAATTCTATACCTTAATTACAAAAGTATTTACCGATGTCTGTATAGTGAATAGATAGAATTATTGAATATAATCTCTTAGTCAAAGATTTCTCATCTGTATAAATTTCATAAAATTAAATCCAAACTAATTATTTTATTTATATTTAGAAAATATTAATCACCGCTTACTGGTAAAATAAATGGAGGCCGTTTCAATTGACGTCTTACTTGTTCTTTTAAGAAGTTTGCTTGAACGCAATAATTTACCTGTCAAAATATTATTATAGAAATAATAATAATAATATTTTTTAAGAGTAAGAATTTTACTATTTCTATAATAAATTTTATTTGTTTTAGTTATTGGTAATTGTTGTATAATAAAAAAAAAGTATAGAACGAATTCAAATCTTTCATTTCAATATATCCAGGACACGCGTTTCATTCTATTTGGGACTCATCAGCTAGATGTACCTGCATCTCAGAGTTGATGTTCACTCTGGATTCCACTGCTATCCATTATCCATCTTTACATTAAATGCTTGTGAATTAAGGCTATATCGAGGCAATATGCACAGTATGTACATATGCCAATAAGGGACTAATCAATTACAGTCCTAAACACCATTGGGTAGATTCAAACAAACAATATCAAGTGAATTTAGATATGCTGTTTATTTCTCATCATAGGAGTTTTTCTGTTTTTAATGATCAAGTATTATTATTATTAGCCTTATTCAATATTATATTTTTGGTACAATATGGAGTTCTCAGCGCAGAGTATTTCAACAAGTTTCCATTTCTTATTTCTTGATCGATCCTGACGATAAATATTGAGTGATCATCAATTATTTGTTAGCAGTTCAGGAATCGACATCTGAATAATGTACATTCTTTTCAATGTATATTGCCAGAAACTACAATGTTTCTGATTGTGCTCTTTCCTAACTCGTACAGAGAAAGGTCGTGAACTTTTCACAAAGGCATCTGAATAGGCTGTGCAATTAATTGACATAATGATCTGTTGAAAAAAACTAGAGTCAGATAACGTGTTGAAATATCTAGATGGCAGGAACAGGTAACCCAAATATTCAAACAGGCCGCCCATATGATCTTGTATTCGGTTAACTCTACAACAAATATATTATAGGTATGGTCTTAATAAATTGAAAATAAGCTGGTACGGTAAAGAGAGAGTTATATGTATGATTTAACTACATATTTCTTATTTACTCTCTAAGGATGTGATTTTTTCTTTTATTGATGAATTCGGTTGATGATAATTTTATTACAAAGGTCTTACAATGTAAGAAATATTGCAATTAATAAATGCTGCTGTGAGTATAGTTTTGGGGACTATTGAGTTCTTATTAAGTTTACTGGGTTTCATGAAGCTCGATTCCCGCTTACAGGATCGTTGACGAGCACGTCTGACGAGTCTTACGTAGGAGGAAGCGGCTATCCAGTTCTTCCACGTTTTGACTTGTGGTTTAACATAAATCGGTTCATGATTTCAATAAAATGCTGTTGTGTTGAGTTGAATACATAATTCAGTGTGTGCATTAACTCAAAAAATTACTTTATTATGAATTTTAAACGTATACAGATTGTTAACGCAGTAACCATGATCAAAGGATTGTTCAATTAGGTGCTACACTTTTAAATAATGTATGTGGTATTTCATAAATTTTGATTCTCATTTTAAACCATGCTAACTAATAAGACCTCCTATGTACATTGAAGATCTCAAGATATGAAAAATTCTAAATAAAATATATTTGACAAATTAGTGTTTCTCGTATGCAACTAGTTTCAGAACGATTTCTAAATTATATTAAGAGGGTTTTTTTATCATCCTTAATAAGGTATTCAGATGATCCGCATATTCTTGTATAAAAGTCCAAATGAAGGACGGAATGGAAATGTAATTAAATTGGCTTCCCAAACTATCACTATGAAATTATTAGCAAAAATGGATGTTGGTGAACAGTAAAAACTATGACGTGTGTTTCTTCCTGTTTGGGACTCGTCAGCTGGATGTATTGGCATCCCACAGTTCATGTTAATTCCGAGACTCGTACCCAGTACGGTTTACTTTAAACGCCATTGTATTATTCACTTAACTAATGGGTTCAGATAATCACTAGCTTGTGCAATAAAGTGAAATTCAGTTCACTTGTATTAGTTGTTTGAAGTTTCGCGCTGATGTTCACAACTAGAAATGATCGATATCTTTTGAGATATTTGTATCCTTTAACGATTTCCTCGATAGTCCCACTAAAATCACAAGCATTATACACAGAGATGAATCCAAACAATCAATGAAAAATTCATGTTCTGTACAGAAATATTTAGAATTAATTAAATTTCAAAACGATGAAATAGGTAGAAACATCATAATCCATTGTATGAAAAAATGGATCCACATAAAAATGAATAATTTCTGTCGAATCTAGAATTATATTAACCATGAATGATTTGTTTAAAGCTTTATTACAAAACAAAACAACTCCAGTCAATATTTTTCGTCTCCAAATTTCAATAAAATAATCTTTATTTGATTGACTATAGAAATGTCATTTTTAATCAAATGAAACTTAAGCAAACATCATAATCATGCAATGAATAATTCATTCTTACTGGTATACAATTAGAACCATTTCAATAAGAAAAAGAAAATTATTCTCAGGATAGGTTTTCTGTTCAGTGAAAATTCCTTTTATATACTCCTTTTAAAATAATATTTGAATACTTATTTAGAATCTAAATTATTTTAATGTCGAAATTCATGACTGAATTTTGATTGTTTAACAGTGGGATCTACAGTATGCTATTCCACTACTAACTACAACCAATATATTATCAAAAGTCTTTCAAATGTTTGAAATATTTATGAAATAAATGAATGTTATGACAATAATGACTTTATTTGTTACTTTATGCTTAGTACGATATGGAATTCTCAGTAGAATGGTTTAACTGCCTAAGTATCTGATGTCTAGACTATGGATTATATATATTATTGACGGATAGTAATAGCACAGTTGCTGAGGACAATCGATCGTGTCCTATATCATCAGTATTAACTGCTAACCATTTGTGGAAAAAACCATACTGTTTCCATTGTTTAAGTTTATGTAAGGCTGGACAAAGTAGAAATCACACTTCTAACTCGTTTTGGTTTTTGTTCCACATTAATTCAAATTTTAATTCAACATAATAATTAGTCATTGTAATATTTTTTTATTTTGAGTGTCATATTTTGTGCAGTATAACATTAATTCACCGTGAACCTAATTCAGTAGCATATTCGTTCCATTAATTTAGCCTGAGCTTCATTTATTATGTTATGGATAATAGGTTTTTCTAACAAATTTGCTTATTTTCCCCATATGTGATATTTGTTAAATTAATCAGCAATTATGGATGAAATCGATATATAAATGATGGTACTTCCGGGTATAGTAGTTGTGTTTCTGCAATATGCAATAAATCTTATTATGTAGTCAGTTCCTGCCTTCTCATTCGTGAAGTGTTTAAAGTAACCAGTCTTTCACAATCTCAATAACTCCTATTTTCGCGTATTCTGCAGTTTTCGGGGTTTGCGTTGTTCATAATGCTCAGACCAGTTTTTTGGAGAGCACAATATCACTGAATAGAATCAGTATACCTTCGGTTATTTTGTAAAGCAAGAATCTCAAATATTTTGAGATAAAGTGAATTATTCTCATTTGATACACTTGAAACTCTTTGCATATAGACTAATTTTATGAATATGTTGATGTTTAGTAATTAAAGTTTTCTGAGAGATATCCGTAAAGTCATTTAATTCACCATTATGAAAATAGTCATGCATACCTTCCATAATGCTACAGGTTCAATTTATCTAGGAACAGAATAAGCGGTTGAAATCATACTATAAATACGTGCATGAAATAAAATGATAATTCCAATAAAAAGTAATAGTGATGTCATCGTAGCAATTCTAACAGTAATAATCGTTCACAACACACGAGATATGAAATATATTCACTTTACTTTCATCATTATCACAACCAGGTTTTCCATGGTGGTCTAGCTTCAATTGACTCATGATCTCAACTATTGAAATTACTATAATATCCATAAAAACCCCTCCTGGTATTAAACAACCATATTCATTAATGTATTTTTCTAAAAAACACCAAAAAGAAATAATTTAAAGGTATTAATTTTCTTACTTGGCATATATCTTCCATAGCAGCTAAATGTGCTGTATATCCAATTGGACATTTTTTCGGCCATAATGCAGCAAATAGTTGGGAAAAATCATTCTGTACAAATTGGTCATTGAAATTATCATTACGCAGCATTGACCGCACTGTTCCATGCTTTTGTTGTTGTTGTTGTTGTGGTGGTGGTGGTGATGATGGAAGAGTGAATGACATTCGTTCTTGTTGTATTTTAAACCATTCTGGTATTCGGGTATGTTGTCTGTTGCCATCTATATCATCAGTTTGATTAATATTAATTAAAGCAGTTAAAGGATTACCAGAATAACAACTATAGAAACCACCGAATGGTAATGAATATTTACCACCTAATTCACGATCAGTTGATAAACATATACGCATACGTCGACCAAGTGTTATTGGCCAGTAATATTGTGGACAATTATACTGTTTAGTTAAACTGTTCACCTCTTTATCTGTATAAAGACCACCAAATAAATAACCACCATCAATGTTGTCTAGTATATTAGATGATGATAATGATGGATCACGTGAACACCAGTAAGATTCAGTAATAGCGCATTGAGTTGTACAGTCGGGATTTTTAAACCAGGATTTTTCACTGCATACACTATAACATTTTCTAATTTGTTGTGGTAACAGTTGTATTGGTGTATAACCTTGTGAACAAAATAAATCACCAGTAAGTGGATTAGGTATAGTTTCACCAATACATAAATCATCTGGACCAGTACACTTTTGATAAACTCCTCCAAGATATAAAGTTGAGTTTGTAATTTGTTTACTGTGTAGATCACATTCCGGTGAAGCTACATTTGCTTCATTATCATAAAAAACTGATAAAGGATTCATGCAGCCTGAAAAAATCAATTAAATTTAAACATTAGGGATTACAGTTTAACTACATAAACGGAACTACTTTTTAGCTAACTCAATACTGTTTTATAGATCTCATCGATAAAACTTGTCTTAAATCCAACACACGTGAACTTCATTGGTTAAGGCTTCTTACTAGAACCTCAAGAGTTTTCTACTGGTAAGCATTCGATTATGAATAGCCTGAGATCTGAAGTACGAATAATTGGATACCAACTAAGTGGATCAAAGATAGTGAAGCTTGATTTGATATCTGATAGGGGCATATGCATGCACTCTTGAGAAATCATATAAATGGCTAAACCAAATATTAGGCATATCCGTTTGACTGAAATAGTAGTTACATATTTGTTTGTTAATGATACGAAAAATGAATTCATAGTCAGACAGTGGTGTCGGTGAATTACATGATTAAATACAATGTAAATTGGTATCGAGTTCACTGATCTAGAATATTTGAATGGTTTGAGAGACTAAAAACATATATGACTATTATTGTGTGTTTTAGTGAAGTGTTATATAACTGGGGTTATCCTAGACGTTATTTTCCACTTTATATCCAAATTAAACTCTGAATAAGATGCTTAAAGCTGAAATGTAATTTGAAATGCATTTTGCTAATTAGGTTTCCCGTTGAACTGTAGTCACGACTAGGTTTTTTATTACTTACCACTTAACCACTGATGACAAATCAAAGTAACCAATAGTAATAGAGTTTATTTAGGAGGTGAATATATTTACAATTGATTGATCACTGGGTAATGACTAATGTCATAAATGTAAAGTTATTATTAGTTCTGATTGTACTCTGTCAGTCAAGCTGCAATGTGGCCACTAGTCTTTGTGACTGCCGAGATGCAAGATGGTGGTTGGAGGTGGTCGACAGGAAACCTTGGACCTTGGTTTCATCCTACTCAACACTCGTTAGCAAGGTGAACCTGTAACCTTGAGAAAACTGATGAAGAACTTGATGTATATAACATTGGTCACTACCCGGTGATCAATAAATTGTAAATACATCTCGGTCCTACAGAAGGTCAACTACGGCGTGAATCACTCAGTGGTAACGTCTCTGACTGTGAAGTTAAGTGACAGGAAATTGAATCCATCAGGGAGTAACCAGTCCCCTCAAAATGACGAGTAGCAAGAAACGCAGATCCAAGGTTTCCTGTCGACCACCTCCAACTACTTGACGATGAACGAGTTTTTTTTTGGAAGTTACGCTGATGAATACTAACAAGTACAAAACCTTAATCTAGGTTTTTCAGCTGACACTCATCACCGTTCACTATAGTATATTACGAAGTCAGGTCACTTGTATTGATAGCCTAGTTGAGGAATCGGTTGGTAGCATTAGCCGGTCACCCAATGATAAATTTATTGGTGTCTGCTTGCTTATGACTTTAAACTTTCAGAAACGCATATTTATATTGCAGTTTTATACAGTTATATATATATAGTCATTATTATCATAAAGGATCAATGTAAACTTTTGTGAAATAAGTTAATCCTCTTTTCGTCAGCTACAAAACATTTTTTATTTTCGACCTCTTCCTATAATCATACACGGTTACTAAATTATGTTAGAATAATTATCAATGAGTCAACAAGCTATAATAAATTCAATAAATATTATCAAAACAAAAGAGATTAAGCTAAGAATGATACCATGAGTGGATCAATATTAGACCACCATCGAAAACCTGGGAGCACTTGACTACTGTTTCGTCCTAGTATGGGACTCTTCAGCTGTGTGCACCTGACGTCCCGCACGCGGGATCCGAGCGTATGACCTCCAGTCCACCCAACGGTGTTAATATCAATGGGGGGTTAGAACCTCACATGGGGGATCGCAGATGCGCGCTGCTTGGGAGCCTCATACTAGGACGAAACAGTAGCCCAGTTTTTCCAGATTTTCAATGGTGGTCTAACATTGGTCCACTCATAATATCGATCTAAACTCAATAATCTTCACAACTCTTTACTGAATAAGGATTGTGTAGACTATTTGTATGAGATTAGGGCAATAAATATTTTTTGTGGAAATCCATATACATAATAGGTGCAGATCTTTAGTATTGTCTACATGAACTAATAAAATTAAGGTAAATATGTCGATTATAAGTAATGAGGTGCAGGAGGTAGACTGTGGTGCAAACTGAAAATGTATCACGGAATTTACTGCTAGCTCAATTAGCAAATTAGTTAAGTACATTTAAACAATTAATGTAATTCATATAATTTACCAACTACTGTATTAGCTTTATAATATCTTTCAACAGCTGATTTAATTGTTGCAGTCAGTCGAATTATCATATGACTAGGTAACTCAGGTAATGATCTATCTGTAATTAATTCATAAATTGGTTGTCCACTTCTGTCAATAGCCACTAGTTGATTGTCTAGACCAGATTCCCAAAGTGATAAATTCACATCAGACATGTAAATAATAGGACCACCATAGGTTAAAACTTGACTATACGTTATTTTACTTTCATAATTTTGAATCTGTTAGAAAAAAAAGATGATGTTAAAATTTAATAGAAATAAAATAAAACAAGGAAACAGTCAGATTAGAAAATCACTAAACTTCAGGACGTTTTCATTGTTATTAGAAGAGTTTTGTGAAGATTATTGAATTTTTGAAGATCATCTACATGATCAATTAAGTTGAGACAATTATTGAGAATCAGAGGAAATTGAGAAACTGTTTTATTTTAATTTTTGATTCCTTAGAACTTTTCACTCATGAACTTTATAAGCCTTGAATCCAAGATATTCGTGCTTTACTGAGTTAGCATCCAGTCAACATGTTAATAACTGGATCTTAACTCAACAGTTTAAAGTTTTATAGAATAGATAGATTGTGGCATCAGTAAAATTGAAGAATCGCATTTTGTTTTATTTGGATCTCGTCAGTTCAGTATACATGAATCTCAATGGTATTGTTCACTAATTACCTTTTGTTTCAAAAGCCCAACGATTTGTCCTCTGACATACTAAGTTCAGATAGCCACTAATTTATGTAACGTTTATGACTTTTTTATCATAATAATTAAGGTACGAATTAACCTGTTGTTGATATTAGGGACTGAATTTCTATCAGTATTTAGTTTAAACGTAGCTATAAAGTGTAAAGCTCCTAAACTTAATCTGTAGCTAGGTCATAAGTAGAGACTATTGAAAAGTTTCATAGTATAGCTAGACAACTATCCTAAAACTTCTTAATTTCAATGATTATCTAGTTACTATAATAATTCATGATCTACACTATCTTCAAGTATTTTATCTATTACAATGATATAAAACACAAATTTTTAATAACTATCACAAAAAATCAATTTTCTTTTTATTGATCAATACATTAGAAATAGAAAAACAAAGGTATCAATTCATCTGAGCAACAAACAAAGTAACATTGTACAGAGAAAAACTTGAATAGAAAAAGACCAAAAAAAATCAATAAAGAAAACAACAGATCATAAATATTATTGACTTTTGAGTTTAAAATTTTCATTGAATTGTATAATATGTAATTATTTAATTTAGTGTAAATAAAAATCAATATAGAAATAATGTGTTATTTTTCTAGAACCAGTTGTATCTAAGTGAAAAACTGTTTTTTTTTCTTTTTTGTTATTTTTTTGTTTTACTTAGTTCATTAGTAGGAACAATTCAATAGAACTAATTAATAATTCTAAACTGAAATAAACTAATTATTTGTTCAGTATTAAGACGTAGTTTTATTTAAACTAGTATAACTTAATAAACGAAGTAATTCTGTATAGTGATTATTCAATGTTTAATGTTGAATTAATATTGAATAATACAATACTTAGACAACTTTGTTCACTTTATATAATTCAGTTAAAATAGTAAACTTTCTTTTATATTTGTTCACTATAAAAAAGAAAAAAAACTATTGGCTTTTCTTTATCTCCTTATAAACAGTCTGTCAATAATATCAACAAGTCAATTGTAATTTTTGCTTTTATAAAGGAAGTCAGTTTATTTTACATGTGTCCAGAATTGAAAACTGAAACATAGTTTATAAGAAAATATACAAATTGTTAGGTTGATAATCAGACAATTATCTAGTTATTTTAATAGTTGAATTCATGAGTCTATCTAAGCTAGACCACCATTGAAAAACGGTCAAGTATTTAATGATAGTCTAGCTTAGAACGACTCATGAATTCAACTTGTATGGATAGTCGAACGAATAAAATTATGGTTTTAATCATATACTACTTAAAGCCTTCCAAGTAAACTTTGCATTTTTAATAAAATAACCATTCATCTTCACTTGGTATTGTTTTGCTTGTATCTTCCCAATGAGGTTTAAGACTCCAACTGGTCAGTCTGTTATTGACATGTGTGCATACTGTGTGTATGCCTTGATATTGCCTTAGTTCATAAGCTTTTATGAACAAAGATGGATAGTGACTAGCAGTGGAATCCAGGATGCACGTTTCGTCCTATTTGGGACTCGTCAGCTGGATGTACCTGCATCTCAGAGTTGATGTTCACTCTGGGACTCGAATTTAGTCAGAAAGTATCACTCTAAGTGTCGAGTATTATTTATTTACTCACTACATATACATATTATTGCTCACCTTCATATAAATTATTCCACCTGTCCTTATAACTTTTATGTGATATATATCTTGATCTGTATGTTCGATCGACATCGTATTCATAATTGACAATTATTATACTTGTAATAAGACTCATAGCAGCCTATTTTAATCTATCACACGTAATCTAAACAGTGAAAGTATTTAACCATTTTTATCCGTTATGAAGCAAATGTGGATGCTCGCTACCGAGGAGTCCCATACTAGGACGAAACGACCATTCAGTTCTTCTAGGTTTTCAATGGTGGTTTAACTTAGATTGACTAGTGATTTCAACTGTGGGAATGAGATAATAAGACTTTACGGTTGTTTTCATCATTATTGTTATTAGTGCGTATCCACTGAGAGTATGAATAATCCTTGGTGTAGATCGAATTTTATCAAAATCAAGATAAATGTTTGATCAAGATAAACTAAACTGTAGGTGATAAACGTTATTAGCTGAAATCGCTCTATAGAAATACTATTAGTATGTGTATACATAATTTATACAAATATGACAGGAATTGATAATTTTGAAATAATCCAACAGTCTATTAACTTTATATTGGGGTGTATGCTACTTATTTCTACAGACATACAAGACAAAATGCATAAAATTGTATTTTCCAAAGACTCTCCTTTTGTGCCTTATGACGGTCACACTCAGTTTATAAGTATAATTCTGTGCTATCCGTGTTTTTTTTATCTTCGAGTACTCGTTGGCTGTTAATTGTACAGTTTTGATTCACATTCTTTCTAAACTCTAGTGAATGACCCTAGCATGTATGCAGAGATAGATGGTGGCCAACAGTGACATCCAGTTTACGCGTTTCGTTCTATCTAGGACAAGTCAGCTTGATGCCTCTGATCCCAAGAGTTAATTTCTATTTCGAGACTCAAACCCGATTCAGTTTTCTTCAAACGCCATTGCGTTATCCATTTAGCTATATTCCAGGCAGCCACTATTTTGTACAATAAAAAAATGAATTTGACCCTGGCATGTGTTGCAATTAAAAATAAATAACGTTCCAACAAACAATTATACTGAATACAACGAATAAATAATTGTATGTTCTAATTCCAAAAATCTGAAATCTTTAAAAAAACAATAAAAACGCTACAATGAAAGCTGAAAGATATTTCGTCGTTAAAATCTAGAAAAATGAAATGAAACTCACCAAAGAATCGTTAATGTTTACAGATCCACCAAGTTTAACGTTAAAGAGATTAGCAAAACTTATTGTAGCTGATGCACCCAAATGCCATCGATCCTCTTTTTTAGTATTTAATGAATTTGTATCCAATGTGTCAATTTTTGCTAAAACACCTCCAGCATGAACTGAGTTTATACAATGTGTACCAAAATCGCTTAGAAAACATAATTACATAAAGAAATACATATATGTTTTAATTTGTTAAATACTTAAGAAGAAGAATTGATATGTATAAAAGAACACAAAATAAATTTGAAATTAGTGTATTTTGTTGGACATTATGTGTGGATAAATGTACATATAAGCAATGCCTCAAATGTAGATTGTAGTTAATTATCATCAAGGGACTGATTCTAGACTATAAATATAGACTACCAAAATTTCAGCTTCGTAATCGCATATGCATCATAGTTGATGGGAGACTTTTAGGCCTTAAGATCGACTACTTGTAGGTTAATGAGTGCATTCTGTTAGGGAATTGTAAACCATAATAAAACAAGTGTCTTTTAATATCCGATCGAAACTACTTTCTAATTCAGATCAGTTCCTAATCAAATGATAATTTGGGTGATTTTTTTCCCACTTTATTTGTTGCAAAATGATTACGTGACTTAAGCCCACTGTTAGATGAGAGGTACAAACTAAACATAATATTAGATTATATGAATAATTCACCTAACAGTCTAAGTCATTACTTGGAAATCTGAATTAGTAATATATATAAGCTTTGCGCGGATTATTTGGCTATCAAAGTCAATAATAGTAATGATTATGGATAAACTGTTAATTCACAATTACTTACCGAACAACTAGATCAGCTAGATAAAATGCATTTGTACCTTGACTTAATGATTTAAAATTCTCATTTGTTACAATTCCTAATGAATTTCTTAATGTATTACCAATTAAACCATTATTAAATAATTCAATAGTTTCCATTGTTACATTTCCATGTTCTAAATAAGCAGCAATATCTAACAGACGATTTTTAAAACGTGGATGTAATTTTGAATCAGGTATTAATTGAATAAAATAACGATTATGACGCATTTCACTTTGAACAATAAGTCCTAATTTTTGACTCTGTTAAATCAGAATAAATAATAGACATTAGAATGTGAATGATATAACCGTAAAACTTAAATATATGAATATTTAACTGAAATTAGAAATGTAAACCAGTTCAGTAATTTAACAATAATACACTAACAGAGAAACTTGGGTTCGACAACTAGTGAGGTTTTAAATGTACATTATTTAACAGTCTTATATTAGGACAAATTGTGAACCAATATTTTGAATTAAATTAAAACTTCAATAGTTGAGATCATGAGTTAGTTGAAACTAGACCACCATGAAAAACCTGGAAGCACTGGACAGTCGTTTCTTCCTGTTGTGGGACTCCTCAGCAGTGCAATCCACGATCCCGCCTCGCGAGACCGATAGGTCCTAGGTTCGAATCTTGCGAGGCGGGATTATGGATTCCACTGCTGATGAGTCCCACAATAGAACAAAAAGACTACCCAGTGCTTCCAGGTTTTCCATCGTGGTCTAGTTTCAATTGACTCGTAATCTCAACTATTGAAATTACTATAATATCCACAAAAACCTCTTCTGATACTAAATTAAAACTATTGAATAGGGAAAATCATCTGTTTATAATAGTATTAAATCAATAACTTTAGTATCTCCTGATGATCATTTTGAAAATAATTCATCAAATAACAATCAATTAATTTCGTGTTGTCTTTTCCAGTTAATATAATGATATAAAGTACATATTTATCCACTACTCTATAGTCATTACTTTGATTGATGTGTGCCATTATTAACAACGACTTAACCGTACAAATGTACAAATGAAGTGTGTGTATACTACTAATAAACATTGTCGCACAGTAAAAAAAAGTGTTCAGTGTTTGTTAGTTCAGCAATTCAAATTAAATTACCGTTGTTTCCGTATTAATTATTAGTCAGTATTTGTTTAAAACTTAGTGTATATATATTAAGCACAATCGTACCTTCATTATATTACAATGGTTTACATCGCATGTTTATGATAATGCAAAATTTCCAATCCATATCTACACAACAATTAAGATGAGGAAACTACTTACATTACAGACAGAAAGATATTAATTCAATTTCTAATCTGATGACATAAGTTTCAGTCATACAACTCTAGTCGAAGGTTTTCCAAAGTAATTTCATGTGAGTATGGAATATCACAATAGTTCTGGTTGTGATTACTTAGTCGAACTTCTAAGTGATATGAAGTTTAATCAAATCACGTTTAATTACAAAGGACAAATTACTGATAAAATAACCTTTCTTTTAAAGAAAATGAATGGATTTCGGTAAATAAATCAAATGACTAGTTAAAATATACAATATATTTGTCATTTGAAAAGCTACAGTCTTTATGTAAATGACAAACAAAGAAAACTGGATGGTTAGCATCTTTACAAGAAATATCTTAATTGTATAATTATTGAGATTTATGAAAGATAAGAATTGTAAACTGATGATTTACTTTATTCCATTTGTCTTTTAATTGATTGTTTGAAAAATAGGACAATTTCATGATAGACCTAAAGCATGAAAATGTCATTCCATTAATGAAAGGTGAATTAATAGTCAGCCTTTATAATTTCACAATATAATTTAATTTAAAATAAAACAATATAACTGTACTTATAGTAATAGTCTATTAACATAATAACATACTAGTTTTTCACGTAATGTTTCTTTATCCGATGAAAAATCTCCATTAATACGAAATAACGAATATTCACCACCAACAGCTGAATTAATGGAATAAGCTACTAATGAATGACATTGACTAATTGATTCGTAGACTTCAGAGGATAATTTAATTTTCGAATTCTTTATTGGTTCTAAATATCAAATATATATATGTATTAAGTATATAATAAGTAAATTACACTGGAAACGGCAATAATGTAAATGTATAGAAATGATCGCAATTGTTTAAAAGAATACATGAAGAATTGTTTTATCTAATTATTCTTTAGTTGAATTCTTTCTCAAGTTTGGATTACATCATTTTCATTGGTCCTGAACATGTAATTTTAACTTGAATTGATTGATTTTAACTTAGATTATGCTTTATAATCATTAAATTTCTGTATTTAGTTACTTTATTAAAGAACCACTGAAAGTTTGTTAACTTTACAATTTTTAATCGTTATTTTGATATTTTGGAAAATTCCATCTGAAATCTTATATTATATCAAGTGAATTTCTTACGATCATTTTAACTTTATTGAAATCTTCGCCCTATATATTTATAAATATTTTATCAGTTGTAAGTAGTTGATGAGAACCTGGCGAAATAAAGTTAATTCATATCATTCTGCCTTAATCTTTGTGTTTTCTCTCTTCAAACTAATAAATGGATCTATGTGTGGAAACTTTTTGACATTGTTGTCACTTAATATTTGTCAAGTAAGTCATATAGTTTGTAACAGAACATTGATAAACTATTTTCGTACTTCTTCCATTTTGTTGTTTGTGTTTTGAACTTCGTGTTTTGCTTATTCTCAACATTCATCTCCTGACTCTTACATATCTACTATTCTACTGACCATTCATCAAAATATTCTGTTCCTTCTCTTTTTCATATATTATGTAACGTAGCAACTTCTTGATTTTCGAATAATTACTTTGATTATTATTAATCATCTCTCTTCCAATTACTCGATGTTAATTTATAATCGAAATGTTACTATGTTGTTATTACGTAACTTATCCACTCGATGAGTATTATTTCATTATTGTAATATATATATTAGTGTAGAGCCATGATGAAAAACTAATTGAAAAGAAATTTCTTCGCTCGATTTGTCCCTTCTTTATTTACCAAATGTCAAAATGGGAATTTTCATACAGTTAATACTTTTAACCGAATATTCAAGAGTGGAAATTCGGATTTTTGATATCTTGTGACACGATGTAGTTTGCTTCTTCAGAATAGTTAAATAAATAACCAAATTATTTACTTATTCTGATGAAGTGACCTACATCATGTTGTGAGGCATCAAAAATCTATATTTCTCACTCATTAGGATATAACAAAAATATATCTATTCTATTATGAATAACTTTCTAACGAATATTCAGTTATTCCTCTTTAATGACTCACATTAACTCGGCGCCCAAATATTGTGAAACTATTCGTTCAAATTTAGACGAAAGTTCTTATTGAATATTCAGTTAATATGAAATTATCAAGTGTAACCTTGGTATTAAACCATCATCAAAAGAAGTTTAATGAAGTACTTTTTGTTATAACTTATTCTGTTTTAAATCTGAGTAGTAGGACTCGATCATCATAAAACTTTGACATTGGTATCACGTCTGTTGATACTACTTACCTAGTCGAATCTGGAGCATTGAAATATTCCTTTTAATTCTACTGTTCCTACATGTGGAATATAAGATGTTTGCAATAAATCATCACTGTTTGCTAACTAATATCATGTTTATCTAGTCATCAGTGCTGATAGAATTGCAATATATGGTCAATAATTTAAATCACTCATTATGTTTGTGCGGTTTTCTGCAGTTTATTTAACATAAAAACAATAATTAGGAGACACTGGACATTGATTCACGTTTAAATAACTAGCATTCGTTGACCAGGTGTGTTTTCTGTTTTTACGAACCTGATCACTGAATAACGTATAACTATATATAATGTGATTTTCCACTTTCTGAATGTCAGTCTAGATACTGCAACCACGAATAACAGATTATTTCCTGTAGAAAAAATCAGTGCAATATATCATTTGACGTTTAATGAAATAAGTAGTAAAAAGTAAATACAAGCTATGTTTCTATTGAAATAAGAAAATCATTTTATTATTGTCTTGCTACCCATTAGTAACCTAACACAAAAAACTAAAATAATGAGTCCACGTTTCATTTTACAAGTAATAATTTAAATTAAAGAATAACGTTAAAATCAATTACATACGAACAGTTATATCATCCGGAATTAGAAAGTTCCCGTCTGCAGAACGTCGACATAGTGAATATCTTTCCACATCTATTATAGGACCTCTTTCACGGTTGACCAGATTATCCCATCCAAATCCAGGTAATACACTAAGAAATTTTTGATTTGGTAAAAGTGTACATTCTTTTGGTAAAGAATATGAAACGGTTTGATCAATGGGATATTCATTTGATGATTTCTGGATAACCAATGAGTGACTATTTGTGATAATTAGGACACTACAAAAAATAGAGAATTTTAGCGAAATCTTAATTATTCTTTGTTTAAAAAATACATAGATTGGATTTACTGCTTACTGTTCTCATCTGAGATAATATTCAAAATCAGGGCACACTAAGTAGCTGTTTTATCCTATCATAGAGCGTTTCAGAAGTGCACATCAAAGATCTAACAAGAAGTTGAACTCAGGACTTTCAAGGCTTTAGGGGAACGCTTGACTATTAGAACTGCTTGATAGGCTTCCAATGCCATAATTACCGTAGAGATCAGTCTGTAATGAAAACAACCTACAAATTAAACCAACTTCAACGAAATTATATCAGATGAATAATAGTTAATACTACAAAACACACTACAACCAACCAATTCATTACATTTCTTTTGTTATCTTTGTTTTAATTTATGTTTTCTTGTCTCTTTTCCAATAATAATAATACTTTTTAATATAATCCATATTTGGAAAAAGTCATAAGACTTGCTACCACTTTATCTGAACACGTTTGTAAAGTTTTTAATACAACATTAGAGTATAATTTACAATTATTACGATAAATTTATCATCTTTTTTTGCATAAGTACCGTCAGTTTGCTATTGATTGTTTCGCCCACACTAAGACGTTGAACATGTTTCTTGAGATAAATTACATCAAAATATTATTTCAATTATTTTGTTTTTGCATAATATAGAAACTCTACTTGAACTGCTTATGACTTAATGGGAATGCGGAAACAATCGGCATTAGATACATATATGCCGAAATTGACCTGATGAACATACATGGAGGGGGAAGCAGATTCGAACAAATCTTAACTATGAATTATAGTTTAGACTTTGATGGTTGTGTAAAGAATTAATGATTATTTTTTTATAATGAACCATGTTACTTAAATCGCACTCTTCATAATATTATCATTGTAAGTTATTTTAGTGGATATATGGAAGAGAAGAATTGTTTTCATATCAAAAAGTTTGTTGTTATTTTACAAAGGTTTATCAAAGGATTTGATAGTTCCAAATAAACTGAGCATTGGGTAGAAAGTTAATCATAAACATGTTTTTTTTTCGTGATATCCCAACGAGTAGCAAATTGTATTTCTGACGTTTCACGACGTTTCATAAGTCACTTCTCCAAAGTAAATAATGATTTATTTATTCTGAAGAAATGACTTGCATCAAGTCACGAAACGTCAGAAATAAAATTTTGGTCGCTGTTATTACATTTAATTATCCTTCTATGCGTTTTCCATAGTCATATTAATAATATTTACTGAATAGAGTTTTGATCACCATAATTTTCTCTTTTGAAGAAGTAAATAGCCTAGCCAGATTATAATTTATGGACGAACCAATCAGATTTATGATAACAGGTCCTGGACTTTGGCGCAACTTCCATTCATCCATTTTGCTGGATAGCATTTCGGTATTTTAAATGATGTCAGTTCATGATGAAAACCTTAAATATAGTTCCTAACCCTAACCATCAACTGTAAATCATAATTCTAATTCCTCGCACCGCTTTATAACCCTCGTTTAGCCATAATATGTAGGTGGACATTCTCAGTGCTACTTTAGTGTCACTCAAAGGTCATTCATAAATTAGTATCACCAATAGTCAAATATAAAAACTGGTCTTATCTTTTTATTGTACGCAAGCTGTTTACCACTTTTTAAAATATTGGATTATTACTAATCGGGCCTATAATTAATTGTGCAAGATTTTTTCTTCATATTACCATAAATAATTGATGAATATAATCTGAAGAGAAGAAAGAAAACAAATTGAATATTATGGACAAAAATCACATGCTATCACTAGTTATGCAATTATTAAGCATCTTAATTGATAGATTAAAGTAAGGATTTAATTAAAGAGTTTTGACAATATTTTATAGATGAGATCTTATTCGGCTGTACTCTATCAAGAAGTTCACGATAATTCAACAAAGACTACATTCTTTTTGAGTGATATTGTTATCTGAAACTTTATGTTTATACTTTTAGTTAGGTCAAATGAATAAACATTGTAAACGAACTAAAAGAGAGTGTTTTGTTTCTTCTTATTTGAAAAAGTAATCATAACTATGTGTAGTAGTTTTACACCAATGTAGTATTTTATAAGTAAAGAATGGAAATAGTAACAAATACTGAACAGAATAACGAAATATATACAAAGTGGCTATAGTGTTTTGGTGTATAAAAGTTTCAAAAGTACGAAAAATAATCATATCTTTAAAAAATCAATAATAACATGATTTTATCCTGGAAAAATGTTTTAATGATTTGACATGCTTTGATGTTAGTTATTTTAATTTGAATCGACTTATTCAGACTTCTAACTCTTCATGTAGTTCTTCTAGATTTAATGTCACTCTCAAACCCGAGTAAAGGAGAAGGGTTAGACATGGGGTCGGCAACCTTATTATGTAGAAAAACATCTTGCTGAAAGAAAAAACTAGTCATGTTATGTTGTTTAATTGAACTTGAAATAAACGATTAAACTTTAACATGGTAACTGTAAACAACTTTATAATGTTTTACTGGTAGGTTCTTTAAAAATAAATAACATTACGAAATTGAATTTTATGTTGTAATTTATTCAAACGAGCCCGTATGGAACTGAAATTAGTATTAAATAAATAATTCGATGAATAATGAGTCATTCTATTATCACTGGTTAAATTTTGTCCAGATTTAAACTAACTAACAATGTAACTTAATAACGATAGTTCATAATTTACATTCTAAATTGGTTTCAATTAGATACTAGACGTTTGAAACTAAAATCTTTTTTATATTATAAATATAAATATACTTATTCTTTGTAAATATAATCGATTATATTGATAACTTCAATGGTTGTCTGAATTATCGGTTGTTCGAATGATGTTACGACCACCTCTCTTTCATTCATTGATGAATGAACATGAACATACGTATGGAATGTGAATAATAATTCGTATTATTGATGACAAACACTACAAGTCCTAAATATATATGAGTAATACCTTATTGATATGTTAAATGAAGTCACAAGTTCTCCAGTTCTAACTTAACTTGATAGAGAAAAAAAATCCTGTATAGATGTGTGGATTATGGATTTCTTTTACTTATATATAATATGAGTCATAATATAAGGTTAATATTATTTTCGTACGATACTTTTTACCCAAAATGTTGAACATGAGGGTGGTAATGTCTATTCTGTGATTTCAAAGTGAGTGTAACCGATGTTATTTAACAAACCAATCAACATTAGTATGTTCTTGCTTTAAGTAGTTTCATTAAAAAATATCTTAAATTAATTCAGTTCTTATTTAGTGTGAACATGTAGTAAGGATATAATTATTTTATACATATATATGTATGTTTGATGTGGATAGGTAGGTATGTCTGACAGCTTGTCGATTAATTTAGAGGAATGATGATTAACTAGTGATCTTGCATGGTTTGATGATGATGCTAAACCAATTAATTCACCGACTATCAAACATATAAAAAAGATGGGTTTTGTGGATATTATAGTAATTTCAATGGTTAAGATCATGAGTCAGTTGAAGCTAGACCACCATAGGACGGCCGTTTCGTCCTATTGCGGGACTCCTCAGCAGTGCGCATCCATGACCTCGCCCCCTGCGAGATTCGAACCCATGACCTACTGGTTTCGCGCGCGAGCACAATAGGATGAAACGGCCGTTCATTGCTTCCAGGTTTTCCATGGTGATCTAGCTTCAACTGACTCATGATCTTAACCATTGAAATATAAAAAAGAATTAAAAAAACCCTCATACTAAGAATAGATATTATCATATCAGGTGTATAGACATTTATGTAGTTCTTGTTAACATTCATCCCGATAACTTCTTGGTATGATATGAATATTGTTTATAAGCTGTTTTAAATGTTTAGTTAAATTGAATTATATTGTTGAAAAGACAATCCTTTTAGTCTGATCATAGTAAAGTCAAAGAGTAGGTAAAAATAAACACATATTTGAAAAATGTAACAAGATTTTCAATCTTTGCTTAATTTATAACTGTGTCACAAATAAATATGAGCAATTTATACACTGTGTGATCATGCTTATTCAAATATAATTTCCATGATACTATTATAACAACTTTACAAAATGAACAGTAAACAGAATGGAATTAATACAATGGATAAAATGACATTTATTAAAAGATAATCACCTTGGTAAACTACTGAAATAATTCAAGTGATCACTTATGTGGTTTACTTATAAAATTCTTACTTAAACTTTAGATTGTATATATACATATATAGTAGGTAAAATAGAATTACTGACCAGTTGATTAAATGGATAAGAACGTATAATGGACTTTAAAATTATTAGATTCAATTAAGATGATATGACTTGTTAGTTGAGAAATAAATCAAGGATACAAGTGAACGTTATGTAGAACATCTGATACATTTGTTGAAGCCACTACTTATTGAAGATAACAAATCCATGTTCCTTTAAATATTTTCCAATCTGTAGATTAGTAAATATTGCATTATATATATATCGAAATGCAGATTTGTGGAGATTGTAGTGATTTTAACAGTTCAATTCATAAGTTGATTTAAACTAGACCACTACTGAAAATCTGGAAACACGTGACGATCGTTTCGTCCTAGCATGGGACTCCTCAGTAGTGAACATCCACGATCTAATGGTGGTTAAGCGAAGATCAACGCATGAATTCAATTGTTAAAGTTATTACAATTTCCATAAATCTCCATTCTGATAGTAATCATGTGCTCACTAGTAACTAGATTCAAGATGGATTTCCTGAAGTTCTAGTGAGAGGCCACGATCATTGGAGTTCAATCCGTGTAGGGTGAATACAGTTATTCACCTCAGACAATGGATGAAGGGTTGCGCAAGACCATGGATTGATTGAACTTAGATATTGACACCACCATATGCCGGTTCAGTGGTCTAGATGTTAAGCATTTGAGTGTGTGTCTGAAGGTCTTGGGTTCGAGTTTTGAGTGCGAAATTATGGGTGTGCAATGTTGAGGAGTCCCATACTAGGAAGAGACGGTCTTCCAGTGATTCAAGATTTCCAATGGTAGTTTAGCTGAGTTTGACTAATGAGTTCAACTGTCAGTATGTATATATATATATATATATATATATATATATATGTAAAAAATTCCCAAAATAATTGAATGTGATTTTATTTTTGGCATAAAATGGTGAAAACTGTTTATAAAGACAGTATAACTTTGCCGTTTACTAATACTGACTATCATATTAATGAATTTGAGAGATTCAATTATATTACTCCCATAATTAGCACTTGTATTTTGAGATCTTGATGATTTTTATAACATAGACTAAAAAAATATGACAACAATGTGTACAACATAGGATATTGAATTCATATAAGCTATTAAATCAATTTGTCGACTTCACTCATTTATCTATTCATTCTAGATGGGTTAGTTAAAACATTTTAAAGAGTAAACTGGTTAGATTGATGGGGTTATAGGTTGTACATGTAATACTTGCAGCACATAACTGTTTTATTTCATAAATTGAAGTATTTTTTTTTGTTATTTGTAAAAACATTATTATTACTATATAAATGAGTCACTCTTGAAAGTGTACACCTTTAATAAGTTTAAATATTTTCAGGTCATATTTGTTAATGATTTTTTTTATTGTAATCCTTTAATTTGGGAAAAAATGTCAAGTCTTCTTTAGTCATGGTTACTAGTATTGTGGTGCGTGCTACTTATATTGATATAAGTAGTATATTATGCCAGTCCGGAATGTAATGTCTGGCAGC